TAAGTCTGCCATGGAGAACGTTGCAGAAGCGTCTCCTCCGCCCGGCGACCCAGCGCCCAACCCTGCGGATCCTCCAGGACCAATTCTGAGCCCGACTTCCCCAGCTGAGCCGGCGGGCGATGCTGCTGCTCCAGTAGAAGCAGACGAAGACAACAAGACCGTGCTGTCTGACCAGACCTGCTTGGAGGACCAGGAAGAGTCTTTGGGTGATGTGACAGAGGGCAGCACGGACCTGGAAGCAGCAGGGCAAGACCTTGACAAGCTAAATGCCGGTAGTTCAAGTGCAGCTGGTGCTGGCCCTGGTGCTGTAGCAGCTGGGCCTGGTGTTACTTCCAGTGGTTCTACAGTCGCAGCAGGTCTCAGTGCGCCAGCATCTGACGCGGCTGGCTCCAGTCCTATGACTTCTGGGCCTGGCTCTGCTGTGGCAGAAGCAGCAAGAGGGTCGGCTGAGGGCCCTCCGGCAAATGTGGCATTGGGCGCAACAGCAACTACAGCAGATCCAGGTCCTACCACTGCAGCCAGCATGGCCTTGGATGGTTACGACAGCAAACGTGACTACCAAAGGAAGGTTCGCAACAAGTATCGCAAAAGAGGAGGACGTCAGAAGCGATCAGGTGGTTGGGACTGGTATCCGCGAAATTGGCATCGTGGTGGACCAGGAGGCCCTGATGGACCAAGTGGTTCTGGTGGACCTGGACCGTCGGCTGGAAGCTCGTCGTCCACGATTGTCGCTTGAAAAAGGTGCGTTTGCGAATTGGCTGGGTTGGGAGGTTCTGGAAAGGGTTAAGTGGCGATGTGACGATGAGCGGCTCCTTGGGTCGCTGCGGCTCTTTGGGCCGCCTTTTTTCACCCCATGGCAGCGGCTCACTGGGCCGCCATTGCGTCTGTTTGCGGCCTGCGGCTCTTTGGGCCGCTGGGCGTTGCGGCTCACAGGGCCGCCGCTTCTCTGGGTTAGCGGCTCTCTGGGCCGCTGTTTGGCAGCGGCTCTAAGGGCCGCTGCATCGCGGCTCTCTGGGCCGAGGTTTGGCAGCGGCTCTATGGGCCGCTGCATCGCGGCTCTTTGGGCCGCTGTTTGGCAGCGGCTCTATGGGCCGCTGCATCGCGGCTCTATGGGCCGCTGCATCGCGGCTCTCTCGGCCGCTGTTTGGCAGCAGCTCTATGGGCCGCTGCATCGCGGCTCTCAGGGCCGCTCATTGATTAGATGGCGGCTCCCTTGGCCGCTGTTACATTATAGTCTCTTTGCGGCCTGCGGCTCTTTGGGCCGCTATACACTGCGGCTCACTGGGCCGCTGTAAATGAACGGCGGCTCTCAGGGTCGCTAGCGGCTGTCTGGGCCGCTGGCGCGGCTCTTGGGGCCGCTGCCTGCTTGCGGCTCTTGGGGCCGCTTGCTGCAGCTTCGTTGGGCTCTGGGTCGACTGCGCGCGGCTCGCTGGGCCGCTGGCGGCCATGGGCTGCGAGATTGTCCGGGCCTTATTCTCGTCACCTCCTTATTCGCTCACTTCACTAAGTCTTTGTTGCCGCTGCTGCCATTATCTTCAGTCCAACCAACGAACGTTAAACAGAAGGCAAACATTTTTTAATAAACAAGTTGTCAATGGTCAAGCTTCGAACCACTAAGTAATTATTGTAAATAAACACAAGTAACAATATATGATATCAGCTCCTCTGACAGATTCTGTCAGTTTGCCTTGCGGCATGGCTGATGAGTCAGAAGTGGTTGGGCTGCCTCCGGATGTGGAAAGTTCGGCATCAGAAAAGGAGGAGTCAGATGTAGAGCTCCCGGAAAGCATGCTTGCAGCCGACTGTTGCAAGAAAAAATGCATTGATGCGGTGAGGGCTTCCCCGTTCTTATGCCAATGTCAATCCAGGCTGCAAGCGAGTGTGGATCGCCTGGATCTTCCGGGCAGGAATACCCTTTGGTTCAACCAAATGCAGTCAATGCACTCACATGGAACTCGAACTTTGTCTTGGCGTGGGATTAGCTTGTGCCATGCAGCCTACAGCATGGTGAGCCTATGCCCTAAGAAGAAGATCAGCAAGTTTTTGAAGGCCATTTCCCTTGGCGCAGTGCGAGCTCCGGTGGATGGTCGCTCCTTGAACATTGCCAAACCGAAGCCCAAAAGGGATGACTGCAGTGTGTTCTTCTCATTTCTCTATGAGAATTTGTCTGAACCTCTGGCCTTGGCCCGAGACCAAGTAGAGGACGAAGAGGTGGCAGAAGAGGAAAAGGTACAATGTTGAGCGCATTGAGGCCCCACAATGGCTCTTGGAACAAGATTTTCTGGAAGTGCCAATAGAACTTGGCCATGTCGCTGCAGGCAGTGCTGACAAGCGTCTAGTGGAGAAGCGGTGGTTGCCGACCATGAGCCTCGCTGAAATTTATGACCTGTACAAGGACATGCATTGCGACCATGCTGAGTTGTCATCCTGGAGCTCTTTTTCCAGGGCATGGAAAGACTGGCAGCAAATCATTGCCATTCGCCCTGCTCAAGTTCATGCTCGCTGTGATGACTGCGCCAAATACGCAAAGTACCGGCAGCTGCATTGCGACAATGAAGCTGATTTGAAGGCTGTGACGAACGCCTACAACAAGCACATCAAGGAAGTCTTTGCCGACAGGCATGTCATGACTCTGTTGGAAAACAAAGTCGAGCAAAGCATGAAGCAGGGAGAGCAAGAACTACCGCATTTGGTTTTGGTGATTGATGGGATGGACAAGAGCAAGTGGTTATTACCAAAACTCGTTGAGAACACCAAGAGAATGTCCATGCTTTGGCGGCCATCTTTGCATCTTGTTGGCGTGATGATCCCTGGAGTTCTGGAATTCATGGCGATTCTTGAGCCAGATGTGAAGGGCGATTCAGATTGTCAACAGACATTGATCTGCAGAGCTATTCAACTTGCAGAGGAGCAACTTTTGCGCAGCGGTCGGTCTTTGCCAGGAAGACTTGTCATTCAGTTTGACAATACGAGCAAAGAGGGTAGAAACAGTCAGATGCTCCTTTGGTCATCGATGATGATCAAAATGAAAAGGTTCACAGACATCGCATTTGGACTGATGCGTGTAGGACACACGCACAACCGCTTGGATCAGCGGTTCGGTGTGATTTCCGCCCTTCTTCGTCGTGCGTCTTGCTTGGAAACGGCTGAGGACTATCAAGCCTACATCCTTGAGCATTACAAGCCTGCTCGAGGTCTGCCATTGATCTGTGAGGTCATCACGGCGTGCCATTGTTGGCGGGATCTCATGGGCCCCTTGGAGACGGCCTTCACTGGAATCACAGGAAGCAAGACTACTGCAGACGCAGCCCATGTGATGCGAGTGGTCCCCAGGAAGGATGTTGCTCATTGCGTGCCAGGGTGTGTTGCTGAAGAGGGCGATGATTTCGATCCTGTTTTGTTGGCCAAGCGCTGGTTGTGTTCAAAGGTGTTGTCACAGCCACCGACTGTGCAGTTAGAAGGTAAAGCGAAGGTAGATTTGTCTTTGCTTCGCACCATGCCGGCCCCGCGCGCATGGCTCACAGATGAGTCGCTCAAGAAGTATGCGAAGACAGCAGAGGAGGTGTTGCAAAAGCCTTGGCAGTTGCATGCAGCTTTCTCTTACTTTCAGGATTGGTTGCGCAGAAACGGAGAACAGATACCTGGTAAGCTCCCTGACATCGAATGCATCATCAATGGCAGGGACTTTTTGGAGCCTACCGGTCCTGAGGTGACTGCAACTTGGAAAGACTTTGCTCCAGAAGGAGCGCTGGCCATTCGAGAAGTGCGTGCAAGACCCAAGACTTATGGCCCGAAGAGACCGCCCAAGACCGATGCTGCTGCTGCTTCTGCTGGCACATCTATCCCGCCGTCAGCGTGCACAGCAAGGGGCTCCACCCCCGGCACAGTCTCCCGTGCAACTGCCGGCGCCAGAGGATGCCGATGAGGTGCCAGCACAGCCCCAGCATGAGCCGGAGATTGAGGAGACAGCGAATGACCAGCCTCCAACCAAAAGGGCGAGAACTCAGCAGAATGTTTTGATCTTTGGCAACATCCGCTTGACCCCCAAGATGAAGGATGGTAAACCTTTGGCCTGGCAAGTAACTTGCCCCAAGCATCCGCAGTGCAACAGAGCAAGAAACGTCGCAGCTTGCACTTCCGAGGACCAATGCTTTTGCATGCTCATGACCTGGGCCTTGCTAGCAGACGAGTGTGAAGACAAGCAGAGTCACAAAGAGAAATGGGGTGAGGTTGAGACAAAGGCGACCAACGGAGAGTTGGAATCGAGGGTTGATTTGGAAGAGGCCTGCCGCCACTACGAAGGCTAGCCTGGCAGCCTCGGCGTGTCACCAGATGCTGCAGCTAAAACGCGGCGTAATTTTGTGTCTGAAGCAGTGAGAAAGGGCGTTGTGAGTTGAATTTTTACCTGCAAGTTGATTCTTCTGACATGTATGAAAACACAGATACAGCATGATGTTTTTTTCTTGTGAATGTTTCACTCACTCAGAGCAAAAGGTGGCTCCAACTGTAGGTACCTGCCCCAAAGGTCTGTTTACGACATGTCCCACATGGATCTGATGGAGACTCAGAGCCTGGCGATCAGTTTGCCATCTGATCAGGAATCGGACTCCGACTCCGAGTTGAATATGTCGGTGTCATTACCTGCCTCTCCGCGAACTGATGAGACTGTGGCGTTCATGGAAGTGTTCTCGCAGCCTCGGGTGGCCCCTGCGGTCAGGTCTTTGGGGTGGCGAGTTGGGCCGAGCCTGGACCTGCTCACCGGGTATAACTTCTTGAACGAAGAAAGCCGCAAGGCATGTGTCAAGCTGGTCATTGACCTGGAGCCAAGGGTTTTGATGCTCTCACCTCCTTGCACTGTTTTTTCGCAGATGCAGCACAGCAACAAGAACCGAAGGTCCGACCTGGTTCTATGGGAGCAGCGCTATGAGGAAGGGAAGCAACTTTGGAAATTTGCTTGTATGTTGTTTCGTTTGCAAGTGCGCCTTGGCCGCCACGCGGTCATCGAGCACCCATGGATGGCGACATCCTGGTCTTTGCCGATCAGCGATGAGATGCACCAGCTTCCTCATGTTCAAGATTTTGTTTTTGACCAGTGTTTGCATGGCCTCCGCACTGCAGTGGAAGGCAACCCTGTTCGGAAGCGGACCAAGCTTATGAGCAACTGGCCTTTGCTTGCCAATGACTTCAACACGCGATGCACTCCGGCCACTTGCAACCACACACCACTCACACATGTATGGCTACAGGGACAAGAAGGTCCTATGAGCAGACGCCGTGCTGCACAGGTTTATCCTGATGGGATGGTTTCCAGCTTGGCCAATGCCGTGCAGGTGGAGATGTTGCATGGGCAGCCGCCTCTGCGGCAGCTTGTGGCTGACGAGGGCGAGGAATCTGTGGAGCTTCCCTCCCCGATGGGCGAGTGAATCCGGCCCTGCAGCTGCTGGGGCAAGTTTGGGTATTTTGAAAGAACACAGCGGGCGGCTCTTCGACGCCTGTGCGGCTCTTTGGGCCGCAGACGGCTGTTCTGAGAAAGTTAGGGGTTTAGCCAGTCAATGACTGCCGTTGAAATCGTCACATGACACTAGAAGGGGTCTGCAGGAAAAAGATGCAAAATGATTCGTCACTTTTTTTTGGACGGATCAAGGGGTCCCAAATTTGGGAGGGAAAGATCGGTTCGAAAAAAATTTTTGGACGGATCTCGGGGGGGGCGCGGGTCCATGGACGGATCTGAGGGGTCAGATTTTAGGGTAGGGGTTTCGGTTCTCGCCAGCGTTGGGGGGGGAGATCGGTCCGAAAAAAAATTTTTGGACGGATCTCGGGGGTCAAATATTTTGAACTCATGATCGCTTGAAATTTCTGAATTTATATGTTTTCCCAGTGGATCAAGTGGCCAGGCAGAATTATCTGGTCAGAAGCTGCAAACATGGCCGCCTCGGAGCCCAGTGAAGGGGTTTCGCATCCGTCTGCTCCCACTCCAACCCCTTGGGAGCTACCACCGGTGGATGCTGATGTGGAAGGGTTCAAGAACAGCATGGAGAAAGTACTTCATGCTTTCAAGTGCTCGGTGATTGAGACCTGGGGAGGTCCATCGCAATATCTGCAAGCTAAGTTGCCCAACGCAACTGCCAAGCAAGACTTCGTCGATTGGCTGTGGGCAGCATTCCCTCTGTCAGAGACTTGTGTCTACTCCTTGGAAGACCCTCTTGATGCTGTGTCTCCGAACAATCTAGGCGAGATGGCCCCGCTGCGTGTCCATGTGGCTTCACTTGGGTTTGGAAGTGGTTGCAGCTTCAAGCCTGACCCGTCAGGACATGCTTCACTGCTGCTTCTGGAGCACATCCTGCAAGATGGGTTCTTGACAGGTGGGCAACCGCTGTTGGTGAGGCACATTGCTGACAAAGAGCCTTTGATTGCCCCGTGGGCAAAACTGTCGTCAGGCATGCCCCTCACTCCATTATCACTTGGCTACGTCAAAGGTGCTTTGAGGGCAACGACGTTGTTGGCCTTCCTGCATTTGGTGTGGGAAGATGACGAATCGCTCCTGGGTCTTTTCCCTCAGATCCGCAGCACGGTCACCGCCATTTTCTGCCATCATGTGGTCCACGCCAGTGTTCAAGATGAAGTATTTCAAAACTTCAAGCTGTCTTTGATGGGCTCGATTCGAAAACCACCGAACTTGTTGACCTGGATCCTGACACTCGCTTCCTTGAAACAGCACGGGTACGAAGACTCCGCAGCTGTCATCCAGCGTTTCAACAGCACAGTCGGAAAGAGCTCCCAGTTGCTCGCAGGAAAAGCCACAGCTGTAGGTAACTTGATGACACACTTCCCAGAAAGCCTGCTCTGTCTCATGCAAGCGCATGTGAGCAAATATGGCTGGGAGGGCTGCGCACTTTCCGATGATGGACTGTCTACAAAGAAAATTTTGCCCATCCATATCCACAAGGCTCCGACCAAAGGTTGGAAAAAGTATGCTTCGATGAGTGTCCAGGCCACCGAGCTGGTGTTTCGCAAGTTGTTCCACGATTTTGACAGCAATCCGCAAGGGCGTCGCAAGGCAGACCGAGCTAGCCTGGAGCAGAGTGCAGAGTCTGCGGCCCTCTTGGTCAACTTATAGCGAAAGCTTTGCAGGATCAGTTCCCTGTGAAGACAGAAGATATCGAAAAGCAAATTTTCGATAAGTGGGTGGAAGGCCATATGGGACTGGAGCTGGAGCTGCATGAGCTTGCCTCAGAGAAGAAAGAAACATTGGCACGCACTGATGTGAAGTTCTTCAGGGGTGTGGTGGATGCTGTGCGGGCAAAAATGCCTTTGAGTGATGGCCACGGAGAGACGGTTCAGCTGACAGCTTTGGAGAAAGACAAATATGATTTGACTGTGAAGCAAATCAATTTTGATCGGCAAGCTTTCCGCATCTACAAGGCCAAGCTAGAAAACTTTGAGACCCACATTCACTTGGCAAAGGTCGACTG